TGCCAGACCGGTCTCAAACTACTGGTCTTAAGTGATCCTCCTGCCTCAACTTCCCAAAATGCTGGGATTACAGGAGTGAACCATCACACCCAGCCTAATTAGAGTTTTTTGTTCTCAGCAATTGTGAATCAGCATTCTGTAGACTAATATCATTTCATAATTTCTAGAAATATGTGCTTCCTCAAGGTATAACTTTTCAAGTTTATTGACAAATCAAAATATATTTAGTCTTTCTATAAAATTTAAGAACCCCAAAATAAACTTACACATATTCAAGTTAATGTTTCTGTATTCTAACTGAATTAGAAATGATTCAGATATGTTCATGAATATCTATTAACTAATCATAACATGAGTTTTAATTACTGAAAAAGATTTCTTAAACTATGAAGAGTTCATTTATAAACTTTTATCCCTTTTATATTCACCTAATTTACTTATTTTTAACAATTATGCTTGAATTGTTCATTAAACAAAACTAGCCCTAATCTCAAGTTATTTTTCAACAAATCAGACAAATATTTAAAATATTGCAGAAGCAAAAAGACTAATCGGTTAAATATGGTTCTTTTTCCCTGTTGTTTTTCCCTCCCATGATTGATATATATCAAGTAATTTATTTTCATCATATATTTTCACTTTTTGGTTGGATTTATAGTTTTATGGTCTAATACATCCAGGAGATAACAAGCCTGATTGACTAGTAAATCTAGGAAAAATATGCTTGCTTTATACTTAAAGACTTTATTTAAGCACTTTTTTTCTTTAAGCCAATTAAATAGAGCTCTTTCATATATTTTGGTGGAATAATGCCACATACACATGCCACGTAGACATACAGACATATAGATACACAGAAGCAGATCTTATAGCTTTCATAAAGATTCTTCATTTGCTCGTTTTAAAATAGTTTTTTTCTCACCCTTTCATAGCATCAATCCTTAAACCATTTGTTCTACTAAGCAATTGTGTGCCAGGCAACCCTAAATTTGCGCATCCAGAGGGATGACTCTTAAGTGAAACAAGGTAGAAAGTTTATATCTCAAAGGCACAGAACTTAAATATAAACACCATTATTTGCTGAGATAAAGAAGAGCTTAGGCAGGCTGGGCACAGTGGCTCATGCCTGTAATCTCAACACTTTGTGTGGGCAAGGTGGGAAGATCACTTGAGCCCAGGTGTTTGAGATCAGCCTGCAAAACATACCAAGACTTCATCTCTACAAAAATAAAAAAAAGAAATTTTAATTTTAAAAAAGAAGGTCTTAAGTAAAGGCCCAGTTAAGATGAGATGGACAGGAAAAGCACCTTAAACAAAGGAAAGGTTATGCCAGCTTTTAAACCAATGCCTTTCCCATTGTAAAAGTTTCTAGTGGTTTAGGTGCAGAGAGGGAGATGCCCCTACACATGGAGATTTCCTTCATAGATATCAATTCCTTTTACAGATTTTCAAAATCTTGTTCCTTAATTAGATCACTGACTTCAGGGCAGAGTTTTTAAATAAATAGGGTCAAAAAATAACCAGTAGAAACTTATGGGAGCTTTCTTCAGAGGCTCATGAGTCCTGGTGGTTAACATGCAGATTATCAGAGGGTGGGCAGCCTTTTTTAGGAGCTTTCCTCGAAATCTTTGGAAGCAGTCCCTTTTCCAATGTTTTAGTCATTTACACAAATGACAACAATTTTTTGGAAACTGCTGTTTTAGGGGTCACTTATTGGAATGGGCTGAGGCAGGCCCCTTCTAAGTTGTTGGTTGCCATGGAGTTAAAGCACTTTGGAAATAGCTTTCAAAAAGGTCATTTGCAATCTTTTGGAGTTTTCCTGGCCCATAAGTAGAGCAGGTGGGGTTTGTCAGGTCACTGATATCATTCTTTGGAGAATTATATTCTACCTCTTTCATCCATTTTTGGACCTTCCAGGTCCCACCAACATGTGTATTAGTTGGTACAGATCAAGGTCATAAGTTACAATTAAGACCCTGAATTCTCCAGGAAACTTTTAAAGGTCTTCTCTAGGTTTTGAAAATGTTTAACCTATGAGTCTGAGCTGTTTCTGTCCAGGGAATATAACACACTACAGGATTATCTCCTGAATTTTCAGGTGGTTTTTTCTTACAAGGAAACTATTTAACTGTGTTTATTTTTTCAGAGAAGAAAGGCAATTCAGATAGTGTTAGTAGACTGTGAATATTCAGGCAAAGTAGGATAGAGAGGAGCAGTAGGAGTTATGTCAGTTTTACCATCCTTGGTGTGGGGAATATCTTCCATTTCTAGCTTTCCATTAGCTCTTCACAGTGAATCTTTTAAAAAGGCTGTTTTGGAATCTTGGGCAGATAACCAAGCAAAAAATGTCAACAGATTCTAAGTAGGCAGGAGAGGACAGAGAGAAAGACAGAGGACTTAGAAACCTCTATATGCCAATCAATGATATACATCCCCCTCAGACTTTAACCCTATAGCTAAAGTCTTCTGATTTAGTTCTAAGAATAAAAACAAGCTTGAGAAGTTCAAACATTCCACATGAAGGCTATTGGGGCTCCAAATTGTCCTTGATGTAATTTGTCCATAGTTTTCAAATTGTGCATAAGAATGGACCATAATGTTTGAACATTTAGCTGACTGAAGTCCCTGAAGGAGTACTATATTTGCATGCTTTAGAATATAGGGAGCCCATTATATTTCTTATCAATATTTCCAGAGCAAAATCCAGAAATACTCCCAAAGACAGCCAAAAGAAAGACTTAGACAACAGTTGGTATACTAGTCACAAAATGAGTGCAACCCATATTTCTGTCTAGGCATATTCTTGGCAACTCCCAACCAGTGGTTGGGTGCTCTTGGTTCATCGACTAAGTTCTCAGGACACAGAAACAAGACAAACAGGAAAGCAATAGCTGTCTGTGGGAAGGAATGGATCACTAACAAAGGGGTACTCTAAAACCGAGTACTCAGTATTTTAGAAAGTAAGGATCCCATTCTTATGTTGTAACTTGGGTCTCTCAGAGTCAGGATGGCTTTGATCTGAAATCCCCTAAGCCAACTTAGCTAATGATTTTCCTTACCTCAGTACACAAGAAGAGAAGAAATGAAGAGGATAGCTAGCTTTGAATTCCAAAAGCTGGAGTGTACTCCTGCAATTACCTTTAAAACTCAGCCTTTGCCATTGACTCATCACACTGCAAACCCAAAAGTCATGTGTTCTCTCATGGCACAAACTAACCCTTGGTATCAGTCTTAATCTGTTTTGTGTTGCTATAATGCAATACCTGAGACTGTGTAATTTATAAAGAATAGGGGTTTATTTTGCTTATGGTTCTGGAGGCTGGGAAGTCATGATTGGGTGGCTGCATCTAATGAGGGCCTCATGCTGTTTTATAGCATGGCAGAAAAGTGGAAGGAAGAGAAGAGAGGGCACATGCACACAAGAGAAAGGGAGTCGAACTTTCTCAATTGCTAACTTGTTCCCAGGAAAAAGACATTAATCTCTCTTGAAGACCTAATCACCTCTTAAAGAGCTTTCCTACCAACATAGCCACAATGGCAATCAAATTTCAACATGAGTTTCAGAAAGGACAAATCATATTAAAATCATGGCAGCACTCCAAGGTCAAATGCCCTCTCATAGCATTAACCCTGAATATGAAAGCTAAAATGTTCAGGGGGCTCAATGCAAAAAGAGCAGAGTCTGGCCCAAGAAGAACTTACAACACTCGGGGCTCCATGAGGAAGAAAGAGGACCTGAAAGGGGTCAGTGGTGGCTCTCCTGAATTCCTCAAGGGGTCCTGGGGGTTATTAGCAGTCTCCTTAGGGTTGCCTTGTTGGTCGCCAGGTCTGTCAACAGATAAATTTAGTTTAACGATCTTACTTGGTTTTATTTATGATTTTAGAATCAGGCAACAATTCATTCCATAAAAATAGAGTAGGTATTCTGATGAGCAGAGCTAAGGAGTTTGGTTTTATAGACAGAGAAAAGCTGAAGAAAGCAGAAACAAAGAACAAAAAGCAGATTGGTCATTTCAACGTTACTTGCCTTGTAAGGCAGGAACAGGAAAACAGAATATTAGAGCAATAATTGATTAATATTGAGTTACTTCAGTTACTTTTTGTTGTAAGGATTAAAAGCAATGGCTTTTGAAATGGCTATTGAAACTGGATTATTTGGAAAATTAGACTGTTTCACTCTCCAGATTTCTTGGAAGGTCAGATAACAACTTGTTTTCAGTTTTGTGATGTGGCACCTTAGCATGAGTGACTCAATTTTGATTTTTAGTCTAGTCTGTTGGGGTCTAGTACACAGCTTAGTCCAAAACCATGGCTTCCTATAATTTTCATTTAACAGTATGCATGAGCAAGGCCCCATATTATCAATGAAGTTGCCAAGAGATATTAACTGTAAGGTTCAATCCAAATGTATTAACTTCTTTGTCTCTCCAACAGACATGAAAAAAATATGCTTTTTCAAACAATACACTCCCACAGATTCCCCCAAGAATCTGATATGGCTCTCATCCTTGGAGGGTAGTTCCAATTGAGGTTCACTGGTTTATAAAATATCCAAAGAAGATTACAGTTTAAAGATGAAAACATTTTATTCTATAAGTAATTTAGTATTCCTCCTCTTGTCACTCAGTCACTCACAGATGTTTCACTTAATAGTTTTCTCTGGTGATCTATGGGTTCCTTTCAGTATATTTTCAAACTGCTCTGGTCTGATTAGGTGGCATCCAGAACAACACTCTAGGCTCAAACCCAGGTTCTCACTGGCAAGGTGTGGGTGCTTATCTGGAACCAAATCCTATCAGCTGACATTTAACCCAGTCTTACCAGTAACAGTTTGCTAGAGATTTCCAGTAACCATACTGTGATCCGTTTGTGGCATGAATTGGGGTCTACTTTTCTCTATTATTGACCATGATTTTCAAGGGTCCTAGAAAGGATTGTGCCTGTGCTTTGGGCTTGGCCCAACTGATTACAAGGAGCCTGGGGAAAGGTCTTGTTTATGCTTAGCCAAAGTTGACATCTTTTTTCAACTTCTCATATCTATGCACTACATGGAAAGCCTTTAAAAACTCATTAAAGTCGATGCTTCCATCTTTGTTTACATCCATTGCGTTGGCGAGATAATCAACTTGGGAATCCTCAATAGGAACACTGTAGTGAGAACGAAAAAGTTTCCACATAGCACGAAATTCTTCCATGGAGATAAGGCCTAAAAGAATATAGGAGAAGGCTGTGAGTGTTCATTTTAAGACCCATACAAGACAGGGGTGGGGAAACCACACTGACTGAATAGTCCCAACCAAAAGCTCACTAACATGCCTGACCGTGAAGATATTGAAGGAAATGGACAAGATTACAAATGTAAGAAATATTATGCCACTTTCAACTTCTAAGGGATCCCAAGATAATTCTAAAGGCAGAATGAGTAAACAGTAAATAAATGGGAATGGAAGTGCAGACTGTGGGACTATGTGCTATAGAAATTATAAGATCTAAAATAGAAGGATGAGGGACATGGAAGGAGAGCAGCTAGGAGAGCAATATCAAAGCAGAGGGAGAAGATGCCCTGGGAGTCAATAAGAGGATTGCAAACAATGCTGCTGTCTTTTTTATAGGCAATAATTTACTTTCCTGTTTTGATTATTGATTTTTTTTTAGTGTCAAAGGTCTCTGCAGTAGGGAACTTTCTGATGATTTTTCAGAGTGTGAAAATAAGTCACTGTGCATCAAAACAAAGCAGAAAATGAGCTTTCATAGCCTTTAGTCCCCCAAACAGAATCAGAACTCAAGGAATGATTTTTATTGCCAGGAGTAACTAAGATATTAAGATGGACAGTGAATTATCTTTTCATCTGTGCTGGTGATTTATATAAAAGGAGCTATTCTAGTTGGCTGATGGCTACATAGGCTTCTGTGGAACTCTATGGTCTTGAATACAGAGTTTGTGGCCAAACTAAAATAACAATAGCATTAAACATGAGTTCATTTTCCCCCCTCAGGTTTTATCAAATTTGGATGAAGAATGAAATAGATAAAAACAGAGTTCTGATTTCAGAAGAAACAGACTAGCCTTTGCTTTCTACTACTACTGAACTAATCAAAGTTCATTTACCTGAGTGATCAGAGTCAATTATATTAAATACGGTTTCCAGGTCAGATCGGTATCTGTACAGAGTTTCAATTAAAGCAGAATGAACCTAAAATAAAGATTTTCTAAGTGTTAAAACAGAATTAATGACACAGATCAATTTTAGCAAATGTAATAAACACAAATCATCATCAACTGAAATGACGTGATTTTAGATAGAAATTTGAGAAGGCAGGACCTTCCCTTGAAACCTTAAACTTCTTCATTCAGATCAAAACCCTAGCTCTCCTGTTCTAAGGCTTCTGCCCTCCTCTGGGGACAGAGCCAAAGTGAATAAGGCAGCAATAAATAACAGTAGCCACCATTTACAGAGATACTTATGTGAGTTATTTCCTTTAGTCCCCTATATCAACAAGGAAAAGGAACAGAACTATTTTTTTTTTTTTTTTTTTGAGTTGGAGTCTCACTCGGTTGCCCAGACTGGAGTGCAGTGGCCACTCCCGGCCACCGCAGCCTCGACCTGCTGGACTCCGGCGATCCTTCCGTCTCAGCCTTCCGAGTAGCCGGAATTACAGGCATGCACCACCACGCCCGGCTGATTTTTTAATTTATTGTAGAGATGAGGTCTCGCTGCCCAGGCGGGTCTCGAACCTGCAGGCTCAGGCAATCCACTCACCTCAGCCTCCCAAAGGCGCGGGATTACAGGCTGAGCCACCGAGCCCGGCTGGAACAGAACTATTTTACATTTTACATTATTATCCATTTTACAGATTAGAAAACAAAGTGATAAAGAAGCTTTGCCACAGGTCACATAGCTGGCAAGTGAGATTTGAATCTCAGTTGCCTGAAGCTAAGGCCTATGATCTTAGTCACCATGGTAAACTGCCTCTAAAGTCAAAAGCCTTCTTCCTGGAGATATTTGTCTCCAACCTGAACTTTACTTTCCTTTCCTTCTCTCTACTCTTAACTTCTCATTTTCTCTGCAAACAATCAAGTATAGCTCCAACCAGCTCAATATAACTAATTGCTGACGGGTTGCTAACTAATAAGTACTAGGAGACTGGGGTACTTACCGCCCCAGGGGTATTCACATTTTAATAAGGGATTCTACGTTTTAAAAATCTTTAAGACACATTCTGGATCATATCAGCAAGTCTGTATACTCACAGTTTAACAGGGGACATGTCAAAAATTCTAAATTGTATGCTGTATTAAAGAATGAATGTCACATCTATTCTTCTGCCGGACAGCACTTAAAGGAATCCCATATTGGATGTGGATTTGCTTGCTGAAGCTTTTCCTTCTTTTTTCTTTTTGTCTATCCTGAGAACATTTCCTGAACAGATCTCAATATATCTGGGAGATTCCCCTTCAACCTTTCCCAAGACTGCCACTCCCATCCATTATATGATTCCACCCCCAACTTTTCAAAGGACTAAGTTATGTTTCACCCCAGCCAGGATTTAGCTGGGGTTATGTTTCACTTGCCTCTTTCACAGGTTTTTCAATGTGGATATCGTGGAAGCTGGACATGTAGTCAACCTTTCCATCTCTGTCTATGTCTACCAGATGCAAACTCAGGGATCTCCATGGTAAGTTCAGCCTCAAAATGCTCTCCATGCAAAAAGCCCATTGGCTCACAGAAATTTGTCCTAACAACAACAAAGTCCACATAATTTTTTAAAATATAATTTGATTTTTTAAAAACACAACCTCCTTGGCAGAACTAGTAGGCAGTCAAGGGTCTGCTGCTCTCCTTTATGATTTGTCTTCCTAGGACCCATAGCCCTGAAGGAGAAATAACTAAAGAAAGTCTTTAATATTCCACAGATCTTGCCCTTACTGTCACCTGTAAGAAATCAGACTCAGGGTATTAGATTTTTTTCCTTTTTCTGATTAACAAAGTAAGGTATGCTTATTATAGAAGATTTGAAAACACAAAATAATACTTTGGTATACTACTCATCTGCCATTTTCACAGCTAATATCCTTACCCTCTAATAGTATATGTAATTTTTCAAAATACAAATATCATTTTTTTTTGTTTATCAAAGATATGCTCATCCTAAATTATTTTGGATAAACAGAAAATGTTATTATTTCTAGTTTTTTTTCTAGAAATATAAATATGTGTATACATGAATGTTTATGTATTTTCTTTTTCTTAAAACCAAATATACATCGTACTCTAGCATGTTTTACATACATATATTGCATATGGCAACACACACAATCATTTACTTACAATAACTAGTGGACATCCATCTATGTTAATAAACATAGATCTAAATCATTATTTTAATGACTGTGAAACTATTTCATTATTTCCTTATGATCATTCCTGGAACTGGAATTGCAAAATCAAGTGGTGTGCATATTTTTAAAGCTTTGGTATATACTGCTTTCAAAAAAGTCTGTCCATTTACATTCCCACCAGACTATTCTCTCACACAAAATTCTTTTTTTTAAAAAAATTGGAGTTTAACACATATAGAAAAGTTCACAAAACACATACAGAACTCAATGAATCATCACAGAAGGAACTCTTCTGTAACCACCACAAAGGACAAGAAATAGAATGCTGCCAATATCTAAAAGGCCCCCTTGTGGCCCCTCACAATTACTATCACCTCCCACTTTTCCAAGGAGAGCTGCTATCTTGTTTTTTGTTTTTCATGGGGTTTTTTTGTTTGTTTTTTGTTTTGGCTTTTTTGATCACTATATAAATGGAATCATAAAGTACATATTTTGAAAGGAGGAGGGGTTCTGGCTTCTTTTGTTCAACAAAAGTTCATGAGATTCAGCCATGTTGTTCCTCTTAGCTGTAGTATCTTCATTTTTATTAATGTATAGTATTCCCATGGTATGAATATTCACAATTTATATATCCATTCTATTGTTGGTGAACATTGAGTTATCACTGGTTTGGGGTATTACAAACAGTGCTACTAAGAACATTTCTGTAAATGTCCCTTTTGTGCATCTATATACCCATATTTCTGTTGGGTGTATACCTAGGAGTGAAATTGCAGGGTCATGGGGTATGTCTATGTTCAGCTTCATTTGATACTCCAGTTTTCTAAAGTGGTAATAGCAATTTAGACTTTCACCAGCAGTATATGAAAGTTCTGGTTAGTTCACATCTTTGCCATCACTTGATATTGTCAGTATTTTTCTTTTTTTTTCATTTTCTTTTTTTTTTTTTGAGTTGGAATCTCACGCCGTCGCCCAGACTGGAGTGCAGTGGCCGCTCCCGGCCACCGCAGCCTCGACCTGCTGGACTCCGGCGACCCTTCCGCCTCAGCCTTCCGAGTAGCCAGAATTACAGGCGCGCGCTACCACGCCCGGCTAATTTTTTGATTTAGTGTAGAGATTCAGTATTTTTCATTTCAGCTTTTCTAAGGGATGGATAGTAATATCTGATTATTGACTTAACTTGCATTTCCTGGATGACCAAAAAGATTGAGCACCTTTTCATATATTGTCCATTTGGATGTCTTATTTAGTGAATTGTCTATATATGTCTTTTGCCAAGTTTTCTATTGAGTTCTCTCTTATTCTTATTGAGGAGTAATAGTTACTTATATTTTCTAGATATAAACCTTTTGTCAATTACATGTGTTGCAAATATCTTATTCTATGACTTACCTGTTTTCACTTAACAGTGTAGTTCAATGAACAGAAGTTTCAGTTTTGATGTAATTAAAGGACAGTTCTTTTCTTTATGGTTAGTGGTTTTCTGTTTGGTTTATGAAATCTTTGCCAGGACCAATGGCATAAATAAATTCCCCTATGTTATATTCCAGAAGCTCTGCTGTTTGTTCTTTATATTTTAATCTACAATCCACTTGGAGCTTATTCTCATGTATATTGTGAGCTATAGGCTGTTTCTATTTCTATATGGATATCTATTTGGCCCAACATCCTTTATTTAAAAGACTGTCCTTTCCTTGCTGCTCAGCAGTGGTACCTTCAAGTGCTTATATATGTGTGAATCTGTTTCAGGATTCTCTACTTGCTTCCATTTTTCCAAATGAATATTCGTGTGCCAATTCCATATCATTGTAATTACTGTACCTTTATAATAAATCTTGATATATAATAGGGAAAGTATTCTTGCCTTATTCTTTTTCTTCACGAACATCTTGGCTGTTTTTGACCTTTTGCACTTCCATATTAATTTTAGAATCAGATTCTCAAGATCTACCAAAAAATCCCTACTACCTTGGAATTGTGATTGTATTGAATCTATAGTTCAATTTGGGAAGAATTTATATTTTGACAACTTCAATCCCTATACTCCTTGAACAAAGTCATATCCACCTGTTTATTTCAGTTCTCTTTGAGTTGTCCTAGTATTTTAGAAATCTCAAACATCATTCATTAGGTTTCTCCCTCAGTACTTCATTATCTATTGTGAGTGGTATCTTTTAAGAGTTTTTTTTTTAGCTAAAAGTTAATTGCTGGCTACCCTAGTTATCATTCCCATGTAGCTACAAAACTACTCTTTTTTGCTAAGTTTTGTGATACTGGAGCTGGACTCTAAACGTTTCTTCTTTGGGCAGCTGGTATAATGTTAGGCTTTTTCAGTAGAGGGTGCAGGAGGAATACTGCAAGGAATAACAAAAGAAATAGCTGTTCTTTCTGGTTCTGGTGTGCTGTTTCTCATTTCTACAGCACAGCATTGTTACCAGAGATGTGTGGAAAATGTAGTGTTACCTACCTTCTAGTAAATTTCATTGACACCACAGTGGATAACTTTCTTGCTACCAGTGTTCAGGAGACACAGTGGTGCACAGTCCCAAGAGAGTTTTGGTGGCACCCCAGTAGGTGGCTCTATCCTCTCCAGTCCTGGCCTACCAGCTAGAGACCCAAATCTGATTTAAGACATCTCAGTGAACTTCTGTCCTATCCAGTGAGCCACAGCCATACCCTTGCCAATGAGGTCTGAGTCTCAGCCTTGATTAGGAGTGGAGGACTCTTCCAAGCTTGTTCCTTCCTTGGGTACTCTCTCTCAGCCTTAGAGATAGTGTCTCCTCCCTATACTTGCTATTCCTGTATTCTTTAGAGTTTTCTCTTTTATCCTTTTTAGTAGTTAATCACCTTATACCAGCTAGCAATTATTTATATTAAATTTCCCTGTTTAATTACTAATGTGGTTTCTGTATCCTAAATAGACCCTGACTGATATACTAATATATAGAAATGCAATAAGTTTTTATGTATTGGCCTTGTGTTCAACAACTTGCTAAATTTATTTTTCTTTGGATTATCTAGATTTTATACTCAATCACATTTTCTATATATTATGATGGCTTTGTTTCTTCCTTTTTAATTATTATTTTATTTCTTTAACTTACCTTATTACACTGGCTAGCATCACTAGTACGATGTTGAACAGATATCTTGATTGTGGGCATTTGTATTAGTTTCCTATTGCTTCTGTAAAAAATTACCACAGATTTAGTGGCTTATAAAATAACACAAATTTATTCTCTTATACTTCCAGAGGTAAACAATCTGAAATCAGTTTTATTGGACAAAAGTCAAAGTGTCAGCAGGACTGGTTCTTCCTGGAGGATCTGAGGTAAGGATCTGTTTCCCTGCATTTTCCAGTTTTTAGTGGTCATCTGTATTCCTTGGCTTGTGGACCCTTCTGCCATCTTCAAAGTGTGTTATTTCAATATCTGCTTCCATCATTATTCCACTTTCTCCTCTGACTCTATCTCCTTCTATGTCCCTCTTATAAGAACCATTGTGATTACATCAGACCCACTTAACTAATGCAGGATAATCTCCTCAGGTTAATCACATCTGCAAAGTCCCTTTTGCCATATAAGGTAAAATTCATAGATTCTGGGGATTTGGATGTAGACATAATGGGGGGCAGGGCATTGTTCAGTCTACCACAGCATCTTTCCCTCATTCCCAATCTTAGAAGGAGCACTGTCAACATTCCTCCATTAAGTATGCTATTTGCTATAGGCTTTGAGATATCCTTTGTGAGATTAAGAAAGTTCACTTTTATTCTTAGCTTTCTAAATGTTTTTAAAAACCATGAAACCAGAGTGAAATCATATCAAATAATTTTTCTTATTTTGATACGATTATATGACTTCTTTAATTTTGTTAAGATAGTGAATTACACTGATTGATTTTCCAGTGTCAAAGCAACCTAGAATTCCTAGTATTCCTAGAGTAAATCACACTTGGTTGTGATATATTAATCTTTTGCTAATATTTCACTTAGGATTTTTTTCATCCAAATTTATGAATTTTACTTTTCCATTAGGTTCTTGTTAGATTTTGGTATTAAAGTAATGCTGGCCGGGCACGGAGGCTCATGCCTATAATCTCAGCACTTTGGGAGGCTGAAGGCGAGAGGACTGCCTGAGTCCAGGGGTCAAGACCAGCCTGGGTAACATGGTGAGACCTCATCTCTACATATATCAAAAAATTAGCTGGGCATAGTGGCATGCACCTGTGGTTCCTGCTGCTTGAATGGCTGAGGCAGAAGGATCCTTTGAACCCAGCAGGTCGAGGCTGCAGTGGTCATGAGCGTGCCACTGCACTCTAGGATGGGCAACAGGGTGAGACTCCTAGTCACAAAAAAAAAAAAAAAAAAAATGGTTACGCTGACCTCCTAAAGTAATCTGGGAAGTAATCTGGGAAGTGTTTCCTCTGTCTTTATTCTCTGAAAAAGTTTTTATAAGACTGGCTTAATTTCTTTGTCTTTTTTTTTTTTTTTGAGTCAAAGTGCTGGGATTACAGGCATGAGCCACTGCGCTCAGCTATTTCTTAAATATATAGTACAATGGTTAATGAAGCTATCTGAACATAGAGCTTTCTTTGTGGAAAATTACAAAATTTCAGATCCAGTTTATTAGCCTCTGTGGAAAGCAGTGTGACAATTCCTAAAAGCTCTAAATATCAACCTCCCATATGACCCCGCAATCCCGCTACTGGGAATATACCCTGAAGAACTCAAATCACTCTATAAAAAAGATACCTGCACACGTATGTTTATCGCAGCATTGTTCACAATAGCAAGAACTTGGAAGCAACCATGCTGTCCACCAAAAGAGGACTGGATTTAAAAAATGTGGTACATATATATGATGGAATACTACGCAGCTATAAAAAAGAACAAATCATGAATTTCGCAGCAACCTGGATGGAACTAGAGTCTATAATACTGAGTGACCTCTCACAGAAACAAAGATCTGAGTATCACATGTTCTCACTCATATAGTAGAACTTGATCATCCAGTGTAACACCATAAGAAAATGACTAACAGTGGTGGGAAACTATGTGGGGGAGGGAGATGGGATTAACGGTAGTAAATATCTGTCTGGGGACGGGAAGACACCTCTTATCAACAAGGGTGCCTGAATGAAGCATATTTGTATACCTAACCCTTAACTGTACCCCACAATATCATAATAAAAAATATTGATTATAAAAAAAATAGCTATAGGATTGTTCAAACTTATTATTTATTTTTATGTCACCTTTGGTAAGAGTGTGTGTGTGTGTGTGTGTGTGTGTGTGTGTGTGTGTGTGTGTGTGTGTGAAATTTGTCCATTTGATCTAAAGTTTTAGTTCATTGGCATAAAAGTTTCTATAATATAGCTTATTTTTTTATTGCTTGTAAGTCTGTATTAATATCCTCCCTTTCAACCCTGGCATTGGTTGTTTATTCTCTTTCTCTCTCTCTCTCTTTCTCTCTGACCAAGGTTTTATCAACTTTACCAGTTCCTTCAAACAATCTTTTTTGCTTTATTTTTAATAATTTAATCTTCTGCATTTAAGGTGATTAATGCCTCTCTAATTTGCATTCCATAAATCCTAATATGAGTATGTTGCATTTTCATTATGATTTAGCTTCAGTATTCCAATTTCCACTGTGATTTCTTCTTTGATCCAAGATTTAGAAGTATAGTTTTCATTTTCAAACCAAAGGGGAATTTTATGACTATCTTATGTTATTAAGTTGTAGCTCAATTCGCCATGTCAGATAATTTATTATATAATGTTTCCAATATTTCCAAATCTGTTGAGATTCATGCAGTTTATGGTCAATTTTTGTAAATGTTCCGTTTCTGCTTGATAAGAATATGTATTCTGAAATATTGCATGCAGAGTTCTACATACGTCTTTTAGGAAAAGTTGACTAATCTTTTGTCTGTTCGTTCTTTTAATTCCTGAGAGGTGAATACTAAAATCTTCCATTATGATGGTCGATTTTTCAAATTCTACTTTATGTTCTGTCAATTTCTGAGGTCATATTAATAGGTGCATATACATTTAGAATAGATTCAATCGTCATAATTAATATTTTATCATTATGAAATGTCCCTTTTATTTCTAGTAATGTATATTTCCTTAGAATTTAAATTGATATTAATAGAGCTGTTTTAGCAATGTTTTTGTTAGTGTTTTCACGGTATATCTTTTTCTTTTTCTTTTCATTTCTCTCTTTTTTTTTTTTTTTTTTTTTGAGTTGAAGTCTCACTCTGTCACCCAAGTTGGAGTGCAGTAGCATGGCTCACCACAGCCTTGCTCTTTTGGGCTCAGGTAGGTGTAATCCTTCTCTAGCCTCCCGAGTAGCTGGGACTATAGTTATGTGCTACCATGCCCAGCTAATTTTTTTTTCTTTTTGTAGAGATAAGGTCTTACTATGTTGCCTAGGCTGGTCTGAAACTCCTAGGCTCAAGCAATCATCCACATTGGCCTCCCAAAGTTCTGGGATTACAGGCATGAGCCACTGTATCCAGCTGGTGTATCTTTCTAAATTTAATTTTCAAGGTTTTGTGTACATGACTCTACTGTCTACTGTTTTCTTTTACTGTTGAGAAATATACCAGTCTAATTGTCATTTCTTTATGGCAATATGTATTTCTTCTCTGTATCCTTTTTAAATATTGTATCTTTGTTACTGGTGCTCTGTAGTTCCACCACAAGTGTGTGTAGGCCTGGTTTTAACTTTATTTATCCTTCTTGAGAATCATGGTTCCTCTTTATCTATGAATTTGAGCCTTTCATCAGTTCTGGAAAAGTCTTGGCCATTAACATGTCAAATGCATCCTTTCTTACATTTTCTCTAATCTTCCCTCCTGGTATGTTGATTAAATGTATGTTAAACCTCATTTTATTGTTCATAACTCTTAATTGCACCAATTATTTCTTGAACAGTGTCTAATCTTCTGTTTAACCCACCCATTATGAATTTTCTTTATTTTAACAAGTATTTTTTTAATCTATTTGATTCTTCTTCAAATAATTTTCAAATGCATGTTTTTGAGTCAATCTTTTAGTTCTTTAAACATTTCTTCCCTAGTTATTTTAGATTTTGTATTTGTTAATTCCAATATCTGATGTCCTTAAGGAATGAAATTTGTTATTTGTTGTTTCTGCTGACTTTCATAGTCGCTCGTCTCCTTGTTTGTTTGGTAACCTTTGGTTGTGAATTCATGTTGGTTGATCTTAATCTCTGGATTTACTACTGGTCAAAATTAGGAATGCTCTTCTCGATGATAAATTTGCATTTGCTTGCCAGGAGCCAGGGGAGCATTATAGACTTGGGTCTGCTTTAGCCACTTTAAGGGTCCAGGCTTAATGTGGAAGTTTCACATTCAGCTTTTCCATCTTCCTACTATACTGCAAGTTAGTCTCAGGACTGATCTATATCTATATTAGCATTTGCCCCAAGGACAATCCAGCTATTTGTGCATGCTTGTTGCTTCCTGCTTTCATATGTGTTTTCAAATCACCTTTAATGGGGAGTGGAGATGCATCCAGGAGATTCACCTTACTATGAGACTGGTAAATGCATTAAAATTCTGCATCCTCCAGAATCTAACTGTTCATTAATAGGAAGAACCTCCAGAGTGTCAAGTCCAACATACTACTAGAATATAAATCTAATCCAGGGTTGTTGTTGGTTTCTTAAGTTGAAAGAAGCTCACTAAAAAGGAAAAATATGCATTTGTTTAGCAAATAATGGATTATATTTTATTTTTATCTCTATTATTCCTTTCTAGGAAAAATGGAGAACTGAAATCCTAATGAAGCAAAGAAAATGAACATTGATCTATATGTAACCTGGTATGTTAAGAAATGGTATTACACAGTTTTGATACCTGAGTTTTTTTTGTCTTCAAGTTGAAAAGCACAAATGAGGTCCGATTTTCGTGCAATAATTCTCTCTTTCAATATCTTGATGGCACTCATTTCCAAAGTGTTCACTCTATGTTAAGAAAGCAATCATTAGGTGAAAGTTACATAAACCATCTTGTTCTGTTTCATTTTAAGGTGCAATGTTAGTGTTTACCAATTTTCACTTCAAATGAATTGCCTAGATTCACAGATACCATGCTACCAAATGGCAAATGTATGCTTATGTGTATGTGTGTATGTGCATTTTGTGAATTTTTTAAAGGATTACAAGTAGTGTTTTCTTTTGAATATCAAAGACTTAAATGAACAATTATTTGAAAAAGAATAAAAATAAAGAAGGACTTGTTCTACCAGATATTGAAATTTACCATTAACTTACTGAAATAAAACAACAGGTACTGGCACAAGAGAAGACAGATACATGAACAGAATGCCACAGAAATTTCATAAATATGTTGAACTATATATGGGAACAATATATATAACAACAGAGGCATTACAATTCAGCAGAAAAGGACATTTTTTATAAGAAAGTGCTAGCATAGTTAGCTAACTATCTTGGATTTAAACCTCTTACCTCAGACCATTTACAGAAACAAATTTTGAGAAAAAACAGGAAGAAAATAGTCATGATGTGTATATATGTGTATCATATTATATATATATATATAACAAAATGGTATATGTAAATCCAAACTTATTAATAATAACATCATATGGAAATGGATCAAATAATCAAATTAAAAGGCAGAGATTGGAGACTGGATAAAAACAAAGTAAAACAAAATCTGGAAGTCCTAGCCAGAGTGATCAAGTAAGAGAAAGAAATAAAAGGCATTTAAATTGGCAAGAAAGAAGTCACTCTATCTCTGTTTGCTGATGACATAATTATGTACCTAGAAAACTCAAGAGACTCCTAGACCTGATAAATGCCTTCAGTAAAGTTTCAAGATACAAAATTAATATATAAAAATCAGTAGCATTCCTATACACCAATAACACTCAAGCCTATAACCAAATTAAGGGATCAATCCCATTTACAACAGCCACAAAAACAAAACAAAACAACACACACAAAAAACTTAGGAATACATTTAACCAAGAGGTTGAAATATCTTTACAAGCAAAACCACAAAACACTGATGAAGGAAATCATAGATGATACAAACAAATGAAAGAACATCCCATGCTCATGGATCAGAAGAATCAATATTGTTAAAATGATCATATTGCCAAAAGCAATCTATATGTTCAGTGCAATGCCTATCAAAATACCAACATCATTTTTCACAGAACTAGAAAAAACAATACTAAAGTTTATGTGGAAACAAAAAGGAACCTGAATAGCCAATGTAATCCTAGTAAAAAGAACAAATGTAGAGGCATCACACTGCCTGACTTCAAATTATACTACAAAACTATAGTAACTAAAACAGCATGGTACTGGTACAAAAATAGATTAATGGAACAGAATAGAGAGCCCAGAAGGAAAGTCCACATACCTACTACAGACTAATCTTCAATAAAGTCAACAAAAATCAAAAATTGGAAAAGGATTCTCTATTCAATAAATGGTGCTGGGAAAATTAGCTAGCCATATGCAGAAGAATGAAACTGGACCCCTACCTCTTACCATATGTAAAAATTAACTCAAGATGGATTAAAGACTTAAATGCAATAGTTGGGCCTGGTTGCATGATCCTGTAGTCCCAGCTACTTGGCAGGCTGAAGCAGAAGGATCACCTGAGCCCAGGAGGTCAAGGCTGTGGTGAACCGTGATCATACCACTGCATTCCATTCTGGGTGACAAAGTGACACCCTGACTCAAAAAAAAAAAAGACTTAAATGTAAAGCCTGAAATTATAAATATCCTAGAAGACAACCTAGGAAAAACTCTTCTGGATATTGGCCTAGGTAAAGAATTTATGATGAATACCCCAAAAGCAAATGTGAAAAAACCAAAAATAGACAAACGGGACTTAATTAAACTAAAAAACTTCTGCACAGCAAAAGAAATAATTAACATAGTGCACAGAAAACCTACAGAACTGGAGAAAATATTTGCAAATTATGTCTCAGACAAAGGACTAATAAAATCCAAAGACTACAAGGAACTCAAACAACTCAACATTTAAAAAAATCAAAAAGTGGGCAAAGGACATTAATAGACACTTCTCAAAAGAATACATATAAGCAGTCAATAAACATATGAATATGCTCAACATCAGTAATCATCAGGGAAATGCAAATTAAAACCACAAACCACAATGAGATATCTTCTACCAGTCAGAATGGCTATCATTAAAAAGTGAGAGAACAGATGTTGGCATGGATGTAGAGAAAAGGGAACATTCATACACTGTTGGTGGAAATGTGAACTAGTTACACTTCTATGGAAAAGAATATGGAGATTTCTCAAAGAACTAAAATAAAATTACCATTTGACTCAACAATCCTACTACAGGGTATCTACCCAAAGGAAAATAAATACTTATATTAAAAAGATACCTGTACTAATAGCAAAGTTATAGAACCAACCTAAGTGTTCATCAATGATTGACTGAATAAAGAAAATGTGGTACATATATACCACGGAATGCCATGCAGCCATAAAAAAAGAATGAAATCATGTCCTTTGCAGCAACATGGATGGACCTGGAGATCATCATCCTAAGTGAACTAACTTAGAAACAGAAAAACAAACATCACATGTTCTCACTTATATGTGGGAGCTAAATAAACATAAAGATAAAAATAATAGACACTGAGGACACTAAAAGAGGGGAGTCAGAGGGCAAATGTTCAGAAGCCACCTATTGGGTACAGTGTTCACTACTGGGGAATGGGGACACCCAAAGCCCAATCCTCATCAGTGTCCAATATGCCCATGTAAAAAAAATGTACTCCCTGAATCTAAAATAAAATAAAATAAATCCCAAGATCCAACTCTATGTTGTCCACAGGAGACACACTTTAGTTTCAAAGATACAAAGAGTTTAAAAGGAAAAGGACAAAAAAAGAAATACCATCCAAATAGCAACCATGAGAGCTAGAGTGGCCATACTAATAGTAGACAGAAGGGACAAGACAAAAATTGTTACTACAGACAACAAGAGATATTTTATAATAATAAAAAAGTCAGTCAGTCAAAAAGATAGAACAATATAAACATATATGAACCTAACAACAGAGCCCAAAACAATATGAAGCAATAACTGACAGAATTGAAGAAAGACATAGATAAGTCAACAATAATGTTTGGGACTTCTATATTCTCAAAAATGGCTAGAGCAGCTAGGTAGAAAATCAGCAAGGATATAGAAGACTTGAACAGCACTCTAAACCAACTGAACCTAATAGTTATGCATTAAACACGCCACCCAACAATAGAATTACATTGTTCGAAAGCACATGTGGAACATTAGATCCTATGCTAGGCCATAACATAGGTCTTAATAGATTTTTAAAAATTAAAATCATACAAAGTTCTTTTTTATCACACAAGAAACTTAAAAATTGTAACAGAAAAAAATTTGGGAAATTCACAAACATGAACAAAAATTAAACAACAAAATCTTAAATAACTAATAGGTCAAAGAAGAACTCACAAAAAAGTTAGAAAATACTTTAATGAAAATACAACATATCAAAACACGTGTCATACAACTAAAACAGTGCTTAGAAGAAAATTTATAGCAATAGATGTCTATATTAAAAAAGAAGAATGATTGCCGGGCTCGGTGGCTCAGCCTGTAATCCCGCGCCTTTGGGAGGCTGAGGTGAGTGGACTGCCTGAGCCCGCGTGTTTGAGACCCACCTGGGCAGGCAAGACCTCATCTCTACAATAAAAAAAAAAAAAAATAGCCAGGCATTGTAGTGTGCGCCTGTAGTTCCAGCTACTCCAGCCTGTAGTTCCAGCTACTCGGAAGGCTGAGGCAGAAGGATCGCCGGGAGCCAGCAGGTCGAGGCTACAGTGGCCGAGAGCGGCCACTGCACTCCAGTCTGGGCAACAGTGCAACTCCAACTCAAAAAAAAAAAAAGAAAAAAAGAATGATCTCAAATCAATATCATAATCTTACACTTTAAAAAAACTGGGAGAAGGGCCAGGCATGGTGGCTCATGCCTGTAATCCCAGCACTTTGGGAGGCTGAGGCAGGAGAACTGCTTGAGCCCAGGAGCTCGAGAGCAGCCTGGGCCGCATAATGAGATCTCGTCTCTACGAAAAAAAATTAAAAATAGCCATGTGTGATGGTGTGTACCTGTAATTCCAGCTACTTGGGAGGCTAAGGCAGAAGGATCACCTGAGCACAGGAGGTTGAGGCTACGGTGAGCCGTGACCATGCCACTGCACTCCAGTCTGGGTGACAGTGAGATGCTGACTCAAAAAAAAAAAAAAAAAAAGGAAAAAGAATGAAACAAACCCAACATAAGGAGTAAAAAGAAGATAATAATAAAGAATAGAGCAGAAATAAATAAAGAGTAGAAAATAATAGAGAAAATCATCAAAACCAAAAATTGTTTCTTTGAAAAGATCAACAAAATGAATAAACTTTTAGACTGCTCAATTAAAAAAGAAGAAGACTCAAGTTTATAAATGGAGAATGAAAGAGGGGACATCACTACTGACCTTACAAAAGTAAAAATATTCTATCCTACCAAAAGCAATCTACAGATTCAATGCAATACCCATTAAGTTACCAACATGATTCTTCTCAGACCTGGAAATGACAATACAGAAATTCATACGGAAACGTAAACGACCATGAATAGTCAAAACAATCCTTAGCAAAAGAAACAAAGCAGGAGGTATCACATTTCCAGACTTCAAATTTTACTATAAGGCTACAGTAATCAAAACAGCCTGTTATTGGTACAAGAACAGGCACATAGACCAATGGAACAGGATAGAGATTCCAGAAGTAAAGCTGCAATTTCTCAACCAACTCATCTTTCACAAAGCCTCCAACAACAAACACTGGGGAGAGGAGAACCTACTCAGCAAATGGTGCTGGGAAAACTCGCTGATCACATGCAGAAGATTGAAACAGGACCCCTACCTATCACCATACACACAAATCAACTCTAAATGTAACCTAAACATAAAAACTCAAACTATAAGAATCTTAGAAAATGCAGGAGATACCCTTATGGAAATTGAACTGGCAACCAATTCCTGATCAGAACCCTAAATGCCAATACCTTAAGAAATAAGATAGACAAGTGGGACCTCATCAAACTAACGAACTTCTGCAAAGCAAAAGAAACCACCAAGAGAGCAGGGAGACAACCCACAGAATGGAAAAAATATTTGCCAACTGTATATCTGACAAAGGTCTAACATCTAGGATCTATAAGGAACTCAAATGTGCCGAAAGGAATAAAACAAAAAGCCCCATTAAAAACTGGGCAAAAGACATGAATAGACACCTCTCAAAAGAAGATATACAGGCAGCCAACAGACACACGAAAAAGTGCTCAGTCTCACTCATTATCAGAGAAATGAAAATCAAAACCACATTGAGATACCACCTAACCCCAGTAAGAATGGCCATCATAAATAAAACAAACAACAACAGATGCTGGTGAGGATGTGGAGAAAAAGGAATGCTTCTACACTGCTGGTGGGAATGCAAACTAGTGCAACCTCTTTGGAAGACAGTGTGGTGATTTCTGAAAGAACTAGAAATTGACGTTCCATATGACCCAGCAATTCCCCTATTGGGAATATACCCGGAGGATCTCAAATCATTCTACAAAAAAGATACCTGCACACGTATATTTGTTGCAGCTCTATTCACAATAGCAAAAACATGGAACCAACCATGTTGCCCACTGAAACTGGACTGGATAAAAAAAATGTAATATACACAAGGGACTATTATGCAACCATAAAGAAGGACAAACATATGGACTTCGTAGCAACTTAGATGGATTTAGAGTTGATCATACTCAGTGATCTATCACAGAAACAAAGAACTGAATACTGTATGTTTTCACTCACAAGTGGACCTTGAATAATTATAATACCATAAGAAAGGGATTGGCAGTAGTAGGAAAATGTCATGGGAGGGGGAGGTGGGATTGGCAGTTGAGGGAAACTGCTAGGGAAGGAATGGGCACACCTCATCAACAAGGGTACCGGCATAATCAATGTTTATATACCTAACCCTGAATTGTACCCCATATCTTTATAATAAATAAATAAATACTAAAAAAAAGTAAAAAATATTATAAAGGAACACTATGAACAATAGTACACCAACAAATTAGTTAACCTAACTGAAAAGGATAATTGCTAAGATGACATAAACTACCAAATTGAACTAGGAAGAAATTTTAAAAGTGAATGTGCTTGTACAAAAACTAAATAAGTAATCAATCAACTCACAAAGAAAAGCCCAGAGTCAGATGACTTCACCGGTGAATTCTACCAAACAATTAAGGAAGAATTAATACCAATCATTCACAAACTCTTCCAAAAAAAAAAAAAAATAGCTAGAACTAGAACTTGCCTAGTACTGTGATGGGAGAAGGTGTCTGAGAAGTGACTGCTAATAGCATGTATTTTCTTTCTCGGATGATAAACATGTCTAAAAGTTAGGTAACGGTGATGGTTAAACAACTCTGTGAATACATTAAACATCATTGAGTTATAAATGAGTAAATTTTATGGTAGGCAAATCATCTCCCAACAAAGCTGTTAAATTTGAGAAGTATTAATATGTATGTGTGTATATACATATATAGAAACGGAAAGAGATATTTTCTAAACAAAGGTGAAAATCCAAAAGTTATAATGAAATTAAAAATAAATATGACTTCAAAGAACTAAGCAAAATCAAGATACCAACAAAATATATATGAAACATCCCTATAAAGTCCTCTATTTCTCATATGCAAAGAACTCCTAAAAATTGATTAGAAAATAACAGGCAACCCAATATAAAATGAAGGAATAGCCGGGTTCGGTGGCTTAGCCTGTAATCCCATGCCTTTGGTAGGCTGAGGTGAGTGGATTGCCAGAGCCCGCGGGTTTGAGACCTGCCTGGGCAGCGAGACCTCATCTCTACAATAAATCAAAAAATCAGCCGGGCGTGGTAGCGCATGCCTGTAATTCCGGCTACTCGGAAGGCTGAGGCGGAAGGATCGCCGGAGCCCAGCAGGTCGAGGCTGCAGTGGCCAGGAGCGGCCACTGCACTCCAGTCTGGGTGACCGAGTGAGTCTTCAACTCAAAAAAAAAAAGAGGGAATAATATAAATAGAGAATTTTAAAAGGAGAAAATACAATGACCAAAAACATAAGATGGGTAACAATAGTCTAAAAATGCTAGTTAAAATGATGAGATTTACCATTTTCATCTATCAGCTTGGCAAAAATTAAAAATAGTAATAATATCTGAGACTATTGAGGATGTGGAGAAATTGGTATTTTTTTATAGACTGTCAATTGTTATAACCTTTTAAAATATCTATTAACATTTTAAACATATAAATAGCACATTTAAAAATCTTATTTTTAAAAATTGGCACAACATTCAGAACAGTTGAATGTTATAGCAACATTTTTAAATGCAAAATCTTGGATCCAATCTGGATGTCCATCAGTTGAAGATGCAGTCACTCCATACCTGCTATGGTACATGTATACTACAGAGTATTATGCATCTACTAAAAAGAATGAGTTAGGTCTATATGTACTAACTTGGAGTGATGTTCCTTATATAATCTTTAAGAAAAAAAGTCAGTTGCAGAATGGAGTGTGTACTGTGATTCTGTCTTTGTTTTGAAAAAAAAAAATGCATGTATGTTGTTTACTATCTTTCTCTTCACAATGAGATATGTGTTTGATGGGGGGTTTTTGCCTATCTTGTTTCTGGCCATATCACCTCTTCCTAAAGCAGTGTCTGAAACATGGTAAGTGTTCAAAAGTTACTTTTCTTCAATGAATGAATAATTGCTTCTCTATTTTTGTACGGGCAAAGAGAAGAGGGTGAAAGGAGCCATTCTAGACTGTTCGTTTTAGTTACCTCTGAGAGAAGATACTTAACATTTTCTTTATACTTTTTTCACTTGTCAAAAACAAACTTATTAGTTTTATAATATACAAATTTTTAAAGGATAATGTAAAAGAAACTAAAGGAAGATAAACTATGAATGTCATCACATGGAGAGAGACACCCAACTATTTTCATCACATATACTTCTGGGTAAAGAAGAAAAAAGAAGCAAGACCAGACAAAGTGATGGGCAGAGAAGATTGTAGGTTAGGGGGACTGAGTAGCTGTGGGGATCTTGGTTTTTTCTGTTTTTTTTTTTACATTCAGTTATGTTCATGGGCACTGACTGCTTTATCTATCTAAAAAATGTATGAATTGAAAATTGCTCCTTTGATTTCAAATATGGGTACATTCACCATGTGTCTGGAACTATTTCCATTTTGTTTATACCAATGAGTAATCAATAAGTGACTGTCTTCACTCATGTGGCTGTTCTTAGCCACTCGGGACTGGTACTACCTGGTCCCCAATACCAGTGTTCAGTATTCTCCTTAGAGTATACTCACCTTTTGTAAAAAGGCTTCAGGCATGTTGCCTTAGTTACTTGGTACTGGAAAAATTGAGGATTCATACCAGAACTCAGTTTGATATAAGCCCCTCGATTGCTGCCTTCTTCATAATAATTAGAAGCAGAAAATACAGTAACAACCTAGTTAAAGAAAAAGAGCATCAGGTTCATGTAAAATTAGTTCTCAGCAAGTCATTCAACAAAGTCAAAAATAGCTCAATTCTTAAAAAGTGCAAATCAAAGTTCATAATCCTCGCAAATTATCCAAGTCTGACATGACTTCCTGTGACTCCATCAGAGGAAAACAAGGCTTTTCCTCAGTGCCCTCAGGAGTTTACTAACTCCTAGCCACTCATCCAACATCCCCAATGCATGATTGCAATCCTGTGTACAATTTTAGTGCTGAATCTCAGAATCCTCTTTAATATTTGGTTTTACAAATTCTAATTTTCTAAGGGGATAAATCCCTTATTTTCTTGCTTTGTTATACTTGAATATGTAAAATAAAATGTGTCTAGTATCTTAAGTGTTATTTTTTTATTTTTCTTGGAGCTAAGTGTAGTAGAGAGGTTTGGGCTCTACAAAACCTGTAACTTAAGGGCAGAGAAATACTGACTAGAGTTAAGGACCACAACCGTCTTAGGAAGAAACCAGCTTTGGTGTCTTGGTGGAATATGAGAGGACAAACTTTGGGGCTGACAGGGGATCTGGCTTAGGCCCAGTTCTGTCCTAATGAGCATATCACTTCAGACAAGCACTGTTTTCTATTTTTTTTTAATTACAGAGACCCTAAATAATACTTGCCTTATTCACCTTGCAATATTGGTATGAGCTGAAAATTAATTAACAGGGTTCAGAAAAACAAAGTGCTGACACAGAAGGCAATAACTATGCAATCTGTATTTCCATTTGTATTTATTGCTGTTCACTATTTAAAAAGGGGGCATCCCAGGACAACTTGGGACAAGAAACTAGTTTCTCAGTCCTCACCTCTTCTAGACTTACCAGGCATCATTGAAGGAGCACAACATACTCCATTTTAGTGGCAGCAGCTAAACTAACTACGGTGAGCAACTTGCTGGAGATCACCTACTCAGGGAGATGAAGGGAAGTATGTTTTGTGTTTTGGGCCCTGCACAGGGAATGTGCAAAAAAAATGAAAGAGCAAATTAGATTCATTGCAGCCTTTTATGCACTTTGTGAGAAAAAAGTACATTCTTAACCCCACTGTACAGGACAGTTGCCTTACAATTAGTAAAGAACAAAGCCATTCTGTGTGTGTCCTTAGTGCCACGTGTCAGAATTTCTGTTTCTGGGATTAGGGAAGATCAATAAGTCAAATATATCTCAGTATAAGGGACAATGAGGCCCCTTCGAATAACCTAGGTGAACCCTACCTTCTCTGGTTTCTGTTTGGCACTAGGGAAGACATCTCATGAGCTTCCAGGTCAGACACACTCTGTGAAGAAAAGACTGTGCTTGGGGGATGGATGTCTATGAGAATTCACCAACAAAGTTATCTTACCTTCCCATCATGGCAGATTTCATATCCTTCGGGCTTACATTCATGAGACCTAATAAGCATCTTCAACTGGTGTCTACTAAGAATCCTGGCAGTAACATCTGGTCCAAAATAACAGCCCCCTCCTCGACATGTATTTGGGTAACATCCTTTTTTGCTTCTGGGATCACTCCACAGAATATCAATAACCTTGGAACAACAAACCAGATTAGGCTACAACTTACATGTAAGAGTCTATCTTTCTGGAATACAACTTATCTGCAAGAAATATTCATTCATGATATCCCAAAGACTACTTCTCATTCCTCCTCAAAAAATTATTTCAGAGGTGGAGCTTATGATGGCGACCGAACAGGTCAGACTGTGAGAGTCTCCGCAAAAGCAAGTGTCCATAAAGACTCTCTGCATGAGTAGGTGTGCACTGGTAGGAGAGTGAAAGTCCGTCTGAGGGGAGACTTGGGGTTCATGCACCCAGGGCCCCCCTCTGAGGGTGACTGCAAGCTCCCACCATCCTGAGATTGGAGCACGAGCATGCAAGATCATCTGCTGTTTGTGGGACTCTCCTGAGAAAAGCCTGATGAATCCAGCTGATTCTCATCACCTGGCACCTGGCCCACACCATCACCTGTTATAGTGAATCAGCTGGAGCCCCAGATCTGATCAGTGGAGAAAGAGAATCGGGGAGAGCCGGAGAGGAGCCCCATGCCCGGTGAGGAAATGTCAACTGCAGCCATTTTTTCTGTCCCAGGACCAGGCAGAGACCTGTATTGCCCGGCTCAGCTCTGCCCAGCTCCACCTAACCTCCAACTTGGGACCTAAAGTAATCTCATCAAACTGGGAGAGACAGAAGAGAGACCTGTGTGCTGAATCAGACACAGGTAAGATCTAAGTGGCAGACATGAAAAGCAGCAAGTTGGGTGAGTCCAGATCTGATCCACCCTCCTCCCACAGTAGGCCTAGGGCATCTGACCCAAGCTGTGAGCACATCAGCCTGTGCTGAGAGCAACCCTATCAGCCTGCGCTGAGAGCCAGAGATCAGAACTGAAAGGATGTTGAACTTACAGGAATGACCTCAGAGTGAGTCTGGTTCCTTGTTTTTATTTTTTTATTTTTTGTCTGTTTGTTTCACTCATTTTTGTTTGTTTTTTGTTTTAGCTTTTTTTTCTCTTTCTGTTTTTGATAACGTTTGCGTACTTGCTTTGTTTCTATTATTTTGCTGGCTTTTTCTCTTTTTTTTCTCTTTTCTTTAGACTTCCTGCTTGTGTATGGGAAGATTATATCAATAGGGAGGTTTTTGTTGGATTGTGTGTTTGTATGATTATCTGAATGTTTTAGATTTTTTTACTCTTTTCTGTCTTTGTGTCTCTTTTCATTTGTTAGTTGGTACGTCTGTCTGTTTTCCCTCTTACTCTTTTCTCTCTCCACCTTCCCCTTGCCCCCCCCTTCCTTTTTCCATTATTTTCCTTTTTCTTACCTCATTTTGCTTCCAGGTAGCAAACCTATACCCCCACTGCATGGACAGATTGTAAGGCAGTGGGAAGTGGGTTCCTGGGTGCCCATACACCTGTCAGTGGATACTGGAATGTGCAGATAGATTTTGAATCACAGCTCCCTCCTCAATTAAATCTCAAAACTGCAAAAAGTACAGCCCTCAACCCACAGTCCAGTTTCAGAATTGGACAAAGCCAGAGGATCACATAAGGAAGAATAGGAGACTGAGCAAAGAGAAGTAAAAGCAACCCAGTCATCCCTGAACAACAGAATTAAAGAAGAGGAGGAAAAAAGTGTGTGGGGGTGAAGAAAATCTACACAAGTGAAGAAAAACCAATAGAAGAATATGGGTCTCACACAGACCTTGGTGAGCCCAGACACAGAAAACAGACTATGGAATGCAAACAATGAAGAACCCCCAGAATGACTGGTCTCTAACTATAAACCCAGATATCAAGACATTAATAGAGAGAATAAATAGAATTGAGGAGAGACAAAAGGAAAATATGAAGGCATTGATAATAGAGATAACAGCAGTAAAGAATAATGTGAGTGAAATAAATGACAAACTGACAAGTATGGAAAGCAGAATTAGACAAGCAGAAGAAAGAATCTCAGAGCTTGAGGACCAAAATATAGAACTAACCCAAACGGTCAAAAACATAGAAAAGAAGCTTTTAAAGACAGAACAAAACCTTCAAGAGATGAGTGATTATTTCAAGAGGCTGAACCTAAGAGTAATTGGACTTCCTGAGGCAGAAAGAGAGACAGAGACCACCCTGGAATAACTATTCTATGAAATTATTCAAGAAAACTTCCCTCATCAATCAGTGATGTGACCATTCAAACACAAGAGATTCAGAGAACCCCTGCAAGACAACAAATGAGAAGACCAACTCCTAGACACATAGAAATTCACCTAAACAAAGCAGGTATAAAAGAAAAAATCCTAAAGGCATCAAGAAAAAAAAGTCATACTACCTACCGGGGAAGACCAATTATAGCACCAGATTTATCTACAGAAACACTTCAGACTAGGAGAGCTTGGAGCCCAATCTTCAGAGTTCTCAAAGATAAACAATTTCAACCAAGAATAACCTACCCCGCTAAACTAAGCTTCATCAGTGAGGGAGAAATAAAATCTATCCCAGATATTCAATCCCTAAGAACTTACGCTGCCTCTAGACCAACTCTGTAAGAAACACTTAAGAAAATATTAAACACAAAAGAAAGGGAAGAAAGAATGACAATGTTCTTCACAAGATTGCAAGAAAAAGATTGAAAGCACACATGAATCAACCCCAAAATTAAAAGAAACACAACAAACAGGAACAATAACAACTCTATAAGAACCTCATGACAGGGATAAACTCTCACATTTCAATAATTAGCCTGAGTGTGAATTGACTAAATGCACCACTGAAAAGACATAGAATGACAAAATGAATAAAATATCATGAGGCAACAATATATTTTCTCCAAGAGACTCACCTCACCAGAAAGGACACTCACAGACTCAAAGTAAGAGGACGGGAAGCAAAATTTCAGGTGAATGGAACACAAAAGAAAGCAGGAGTTGCAATCTTAAAATCAGAAAAAACACCCTTTAAGCTATCAAAAATTTTTAAAGATACTGAAATTCACTATATAATGATCAAAGGTTCAATCCATCAACAAGAAATATTCATTCTAAACAAATATGCACCCAAGTTCATAAAGCAGCGTATATGGAACTTAAAAAAGAGATTGACTGTAATACTATCATAGCTGGGGACTTTAATACCCCACTCACAACCCTGGACAGATCATCAAGACGAAAAATCAGCAAGGAGATCTGGAACCTCAATGTGACTCTTGACCAAATAGACTTAATAACCTACAGAACACTCCACCCCACCCAATGACCACAGAATATATATCTACTCATCACCCTATGGATCATACTCTAAGATCAACCACATCCGTGGCCATAAATCAAGCATAAACAAATTTCATAAGATTGAAATTTTGCCATGCACCTTCTCAGACCACAGTGGAATAAAAATAAATATCAACACCAAGAAAGTTCCCCCAAAACCCACAAAGACATGTACACTAAACAGCATGATGCTAAGCAACTCCCGGGTCAACATGGAAATCAAAACAGAGATTAAAAAATACCTGGAAACAAATGAAAATGAAGAAATATCTTACCAAAACCTCTGGGATGCCATGAAAGCAGTAGTAAGAGGGGAATTCATATCTCTACAAACACACATGAAGAAAATGGAAAGATCAAAGGTAACAGCCTAACAAGTTGCCTAAGGAAGCTGGAAATGCAAGACCACCAAAACTATAACTTCAGCAGAAGAATCCAGATCACCAAAATAAAAGCCCAAATCCAGGACATAGAAGACAAAAAGATAATACAATAAAATCAATAAAATCAATGAAACAAAAAGCTGGTTCTTTGAAAGGATAAATAAGATTGATGGTTCCCTAGCTAGACTGACCAAGAAAAAGACAGAAAAACCCCAAATAAACTCAATAAGAAACACAAAAGATGAAGTCACAACTGACCCTGAAGAAATACAAAAGATTATCAGAGACTAGTATCCACACTTGTATGGAAACAAACTTGAAAACCCAAAGGAAATGGAGGAGTTTCTGACATCACACAACCTCCCCAGGTTGAAACAAGAAGAAATTGAGACCCTAAATAGACTAATAACAATCCATGAAATTGACTATGTCATAAGAAAACTACCTACAAAAAAAAAAAAAAAGCCTTGGACCAGATGGCTCTCCAGCTGAATTCTACAAAACATACAAGGAAGAACTGATACCAATTCTATTGACGGTATTCCAGGTAATTGAGAACGATGGAACTCTCCCCATATCATTTTATGAAGCTAACATCACATTGATACCCAAGCCAGGTAAAGACCCAACAAAGAAAGAGAACTACAGGCTAATATCCTTGTTGAACATAAATGCTAAGATACTCAACAAGATCCTAGCAAACTGGATTCAACAATACATATCAAAAATCATCCATGACCAAGTAGGCTTCATCCCTGGGATGCAAGGCTGGTTCAACATTCGTAAAACCATAAACGTAATTAAATACATCAACAGATGTAAAAACAAAAACCATGTGATTATATCATTAGATGCAGAAATAGCTTTTGATGAAATTGAGCACCACATCTTGATAAAAACCCTGGAACATCTAGGCATGGATGGAACATACCTCAAAATAGTAAGAGCAATCTATGAGAAACCCATAGCCAGCAAACTGCTAAACAGATGGAAATTGGAAACATTTCCCTTGAAAACTGGAACAAGACAAGGATGCCCACTCTCACCCCTCCTGTTCAACATAGTTTTGGAAGTTCTAGCTAGAGCAATCAGAGAAGAGAAGGCGATCAGGGCTATCCAGATAGGAAAAGAGGAAGTCAAGTTATCTCTCTTTGCAGAAGACATGATTGTATACCTTGAAAACCCAACAGAATCTGCCAAAAACCTCCTGACACTGATAAAGGACTTTGGCAAAGTCTCAGGGTATAAAATAAATGTACAAAAGACAATTGAATTTCTATACACCAATAATAAACAAAGTGAACCCCCCTCGAAAAAAGCACAAGTCCATTTACAATAGCCACAAAAGAAATTAAATACCTTGGCATCTTCCTAATCAGAGATATAAAAGACCTTTA